CGTTTTTAGCGTTTAACTTAGTGAGGTGTTCATCACCGGTTAGAGATTTATTTTCTTCCTTGGGTAAACTAGCGACACGCTTTATGACTTAGCCGAAAACTTAAAAGAAACCTTAAAATTACTCCAAGACCAAAAAACTCAGCGACGCAATGAATTTGGGGAAACTTTGCCGATTTTAGCATCGGGCCTGTGCTCTTTAATTGACGACTGAGAAACCGGTCAAGAAGAGGAGGTAAACGATGACTAAACTATTAAGGAAAATTACGAGTTGACTTAAACCTCGGCTCAGCAAAAGCCGGCGAATTTGTCGGCCCCATCGGCCTAAACTAGCTAAAACCCCACCTTTCAACGAAAAACATTATCGTAAATTAATCGGCCGACTCACTAAAAAAACCATTGCTTACCAAAGAAATAAAGAAAAGGAGGAAACCCATGAATAATCTAAATATTTTTGAGCACACTTTTGCCGGTTTTAATCCGGCTTGAACCCCAACTAAAAATCATTGAAATAATAACTGTCCCGGCCATTGTCAAGCACGAATTAATGGTTATCCTTTTTGGCTAAACCAGCAACCTTTTTGACCTTATAAGTGTGCTTGTTGCGGAGCAAGAACCGCTAAACCGGGGCTAAAACCTAAAGATTGAGGAGGTAATTATGACTAAAATTAAGCACTCTCCAACTTGCCTAATCCAGCAAATTAGAAACCTAATAAACCAAATAGAATTACGCCCTTTATATTTTAAATTAAATCGTCAAGGAGACCATTCTTTACGCTTAGCCGTCTGATGCCAAGAAGCCATTCTTTATAACACCAAGGAAGAAGAACCTCTCCCTAAACCCTTAACAGCACGCCAAATTATTCAAAAAACTCTCAGTTTAGAAAAACATCTAAAGACAATTTTGGCCAAAGGAGGCTTAATGGATGCACTGGCCCGCAATAATTTAAAAGATGATTGTCGTAGTTTGCAAAATATTTTAAAGGAGGCGATTCATGACTAAATATAACTACTGCCCCAAAAACCACTGACTCGGTTGAAAAAACTTCTTTCAGTTCTGAAAAAAAGCCAAAGCTTGCCCTAAATGCGAGGAGGAACAACTCTAAAATGACTAAAAAACGAGCTAATTATCTTTATAAATTCACCGGCATTATTCAAAAAAAGTATCGTCGCAAAAACCCCGAGCACACTCAATACTTTTGACAGTTAAAAGTAAGCTTAGAAAAACAACCTTTTAGCAAAATTTTTGCTTTTAAAGACAAAACTCCTACTTTTATCTGAAATGCCCTAGAAGCCGACGCTTATGTCGGTAAAAAATACCTTTTCTCCTGTCGCAATTTCCAAGGCAGTTATTATTTAGTAGATTGAGAGGAAATTAATCATGCTTAAATTTAAATACGATTATTTAGCCAACACTTTGGCTTACCAAAAACCCAACTTGGATACTGAATATTGATATCAAATTGACGAAGGCCAACAATTTACTTACTTTAACCAGCCAGGATTCAAGTTAGAAAAAGGCTGAATTACTTTTACCATTTATGAAAACAAAATTAGAGCTTTCTATAAGCAATTCGACCAAAACTTAACTGATTTTTGAGAGCCTCAAATCATTACTTTTTTTAGCCAAGATTTACCTAAAAAAGTGCCCGTAATCTTTACTTTTACTGCCGCCGACCAAGTCGAAAAAAGAGGAAACAGTTGAGTAAAGAAAGGAAGTAGCCAATAATGAATAAAGAAATATTAAGAAAAGATAAAATGAGCCCTCAAACCAAAGAGGAGGCCGAAAAGCAATTACATTATGATTGTTTTCTAGACATCAGCAACTCCTCCGCGTTAAGTCCCCTTACGAAAGGTTGTGGGGCTTGTCAAGATAAATATAAAGCAATTGTTACTAAAAACGCCAAATCGGAAAAATCCCCCACCGGTAATTGATTTGAATTGGCCGGTAAGCGGGTGGGAATGAAAAAGTTTTTATACTTTCGTAATGTCGAACTAGAAAGAAAAAACGCCCTTTTAGAAAAAGAGAATGCCGATTTAAAGGAATTGGTGGAAAAGTTAAAAAAGGAAAAAAAACCTGAATAAAAAATTCCGCTCAAAATAAAAAAATTACCCGTTGATATACCACGTGATATATCAGCTGATATACCAACGCTTTTTTGGCCACAAAAATTTTCCCAAATCCTAAAAAGAAAGTTATAGAAATTAACTGTCGACAAATTAATTGCTATATATTTCCATTTACATATGCACGCAACTCAATATACTCAATCTCAATTAAAACAAGCCTATTCAATGGTTACTCAAGATTTATTTCAGCGCTTAGTGAAAGCCAAAGACCAAGAACCTATTCGCTTCGGTAAACTAGGTTCCTTTAAAAAAAGTGAAAACCAAACCACTAGTTATTTACATGATGACCAAGGTCAACGGTATGTTTACTATCGCTTACGCTTTAAACCTTTTAGCCACCTTAAACAAGAACTTAATCGAGCTCTTAACAAAAAGTATAATAAAAGATAATGACTTTTAATACGCCAACTCAAGAAAGAGAGAAAAGCCCAGGATACCTTCCTAATAAAGCAGTTTCTTTAGCTTGAAAATGAGAAAAGAAGCATTGATTACTGGTGATTTCCGTGGTTTGCCTAGCTCTTTGATGATTTGCTTCCTCAGTTAAAGAAGTAACCTGGTTTAAGACTATCGCTAACTGATTACCTTTAATTGGCAGCAGTGCCTTTGCTCTGGAAGCCCTTACTAAATTAGTTTAATTATGGTAAAACTTGATAATTTTAATCAGCAAAGTAGTCCGCCAACTGGTTTTAATCAAACTAATCCGAGCCAGTTTTCCAATTCGCAAAACCAAACTCAAAGTCAATTTAGCGAGCCCAATCAGTCAACGCAGCAACCAGCCCCCAAGGGTTTAATCACCATTCCTCCCGCCTTAATGCAAATCGTTCCTTGAATCCCTTTTGCTATTGAAGCGATGAGTGGACAGAAAATTCCCGCCCTCGGAGGAACCATGGCCGAGATGCAAGCCAGTTTGCAGCAAATTCAATTTAGCCTATCCCAATTGCTTAACAGCCAGCAGCAACTTTCGACCCGTCTGCAAAGTTTAGAAACTAATGCTTCCCAGCAACTCACTAACCTTAGCCAGCAATTCGCTAATGCTAATAAATCTTTTCACCTGCTAGCCACGGAAACTAAGCGCAGCCTGGAATTTAATCCCCGTCCTACTAGCCCTGAACGCGAACAAAACTCTTATGAAGAAACTGAATATTAACCATGTCTTTTTTTCCCGATATCACTCCTTTAATCACTAAAATTAACGAATTCACCCTTTCCCAAAAGCAAAGCCAATCCGAAATCATTGTCTTATTAAAGCAAACTAACTTCCTGCTTAACCAAATTAATCAAAAATTAGAAAAAACTTAAAAACTATGCCCCAAATTGAAAACAACGAAAATATTAAAAGTAAATACATCGATCGCGAAACTTACGAATGAACCCAAACGCAATCCGCCAAAAGTTCCAAAGAAACTTTTGCGAACGCTGCCGTAGTAGTGGCCATTGTCGCCATTTATGCCAGTTGAGCGTGAATGCTTATCCAAAAAATTAAAGCCTAATTGCTTCCCTAAAACTAAATAAAAAAAACTATGAGAAACGAAACAACACTAAAAGAAGAAAATACTTTATATTCCTGAGCCACCGGTAAATTAGCCATGTTGGCCCTCGGATTAGCGGCGGGATACTTTATTTATAAATCTGGTCTAATCCAAAAAGTAACCGGTAAACTATTTAGCAAAAAAGACGCTGAATAATCTCTGATTATCAAATAAACCTTAAGCAACCTGTCCTCTGGCTCTAAACTGAAAACATTATGAATGACCTAACTTCTGAACAAATTGCCAATCACGAACTTATCGCCCAAGTACTCCAAGAAGTCCTTAAAGAAAAGCCCTCTCTCCTGCCTACCCCCACTACTTGCCAATGTCACTTAATTGATCCGAATAAAATTCGCATTCTTTTATGAAAAGACCTTAAAGATGGCCAAGAAACTTATATTCTTAAAATTGCGGAGCAGAAATTCGTCGGCGTTCCCCGCCAAGACCGCCGCGGCGAAGTTTATTGAAAGTTTCGCGAATTATATGAAAGCAAAGAAACTCCTGCCCCGGAAACTAAGCCAACTGTTCCCACCGAATCTCCGTTGGAAAGACCTGCCCCTAAGCCGTTAAGTGAGCAAACCCAGGAAGATTTAGTCCAGTGAGCTAAGCATGTCGCTAGTTTACCCAAGGAAGAAAATAAATCTCTAACCGGTGATGAACACCTCACTAAGTTAAACGCTAAAAACG